AGAAAAGAAGAAAAAAAGAAAAAGAAAAAAGAAAAGAAAAAGGAGAAGAGAGAAAGAAGAGGAAGAAGAAAAGGGAGCCACAACAACACTCATACACAGAGAAAATTCAACAAAGTATGAAGATATATTTTAAAAAATTATATTGCACTAAATTAGAAAACCTAAAAGGATGAATTCTAGATGCATATGATTTACCAAAGCTAAACAAAGTAAATAATTTAAATAGATCTACAATAACCAATGAGATCAAAGCAGTAATCAGAAATCTTCCCCCCCACACACAAAAATCTCAAGTGCAGATGTAGTCAGTGAAGAAAAAAAATATATTGTCTTTGGCTAAAAGTAGATATAAGTGTTGGGTCAGTTGCCTAGTATACAAGGTTTGATACTTATATATTATGTTTATAATGTTTCTCCAAACCATATTTTTTTAATGTTAGTTACAGTTTATTAACTTTGTATCCCAGCTGTATCCCCCTCCCTCATTCCCTCCCAATCTCACCCTCCCTCCCTCATCTCCTCCCTGTCCCTTTCAAGTCCACTGATAGGGGAGGACCTCCTCCCCTTTCATCTGACCCTGGTTTATCAGGTTTCTTCAGGACTGGCTGCAAAGTCCTCCTCTGTGGCCTGGCAAGGCTGCTCCTCCCTCGCAAACCATGTTTTTGATTTAAGTTTTAATGACTGTTAATGAAGACAATAAATTATAAAACAAAGGTAAAAATAACTATCTTAAATCACTATTTGTAAAAGTGAAACAAAACAATATAGCAGTGATGTTTAAAGAGATTAAAGTACACTGCAAAGAAAAGGAAGATAAAGAAAGAAAATTAATAGGGAAGTTATCAATCAGGCAAAAAAAAAAAAAAAAGGAGGGGTCCAACTGGGAAGCTCAAGTCTCTTTTCTGAATGTAAAACAAAAGAAAGGGGGAAAAGCAGAAGATTCACATACAGTTATAAAGAAAGGAATGATCAGTAAGCTAACAGAAAATCAATAAAATGCAAAAAAAGAATAAACAAATGGCTCACAATATAAATATTGTCTTATTCCAAAATATTTTCATAGCACAATAAATACATAAAAACATACTTTGAGGGAGGGGCTGGTAGCTGGCTCGGCTGTTAAAGAGCTCTTTCAGAGGACCCAGATTCAATTCCCAGTACCACAGGCAGTTAACAACTGTTAACTCCAGTCCCAGGAACTTGATGCCCTCTTCTGCCCCCAAGAGCACTGTAATGTAATGCACAGAAATACAGGCAAAACGCCCATACACATAGAATAAAAATAAATAAATCTCAAAAAAAGCTTAAAAAAAAGATACTTTAAATATTTTTCTATGATTGTTATGAAAAGTATTACTTTCAGAAAAAAAGGGAAAACTGAGTAGAAGTTAGCAAAAAAAAAAAAATATGCTGTTTTGTGGCTGTGTGGGAAAATATTTGCCTTGCATGCTCACAACCTTGTGCTCAGTTTTCAGAACGAATGCACACACACATGCACACACACACACACACACAATGCTAGCAAAAGCTATTTTAAGCACTTTATCATATGGGAGTTATATCTATATAAGTGTGGTTTATTCTAAAGCATACTATTGACATTTCACATTTTTGAAAAGAACAGAAAGGCATCCTTGTTGCGAAGATGCACTAAAATAAATGAAGATATATTTAATGAATGTTTCCTCTTTCCAAATTTCTTATCTTTTCTATGGTGTGCCAGCTCTAGTTGTGACCTTTTAAAAACAGACTTCCATCGGGACCCCAAAGACAAGCTCCTCTTTCCCATGATTCACCTGGTCCCTGACTTTTTGGGTACCACACGGGATGCTTGTGGATGAAGAATGTAATTACTGGTGCTGTCTTCAAGAGCATCTGCTCTTACAGCTGGTAAGCTTCTGCCAGGAGATTTCTCTTCAGAGACATCTTAACAACAAAAATAAGAAACATCAGCATCCAGAGTAACACTATGAAGATTACCTAACTAAAATTTAAATCTTTTTAGCAGGAAAAAGAAAAATAGTTCTGAAGTTAAAAAAACAACAAAACTTTAAATGCTTTATTAAGACTGTTATTTATAACTGTGTTTATGTTTAAATTGTATACTGTCTATTGAAATTTTGTAATTAACTTATATTTAATAGCTATGACTTTAAAATAGTAGAAATAATTGTTATATTAAAGAATTTCACATGTAATATGAAAACAAAAAAATTTATATATTGTGTTTATATTTCTCCAAACCATGTTTCTAAGTTTTAATGACCGTTAATGAAGACAAAAATTATAAAACAAAGGTAAAAATAACTATCTTAAATCACTATTTATAAAAGCGAAACAAAACAATATAGCAGTGATGTTTAAAGAGATTAAAGTACACTGCAAAGAAAAGGAAGATAAAGAAAGGAAATTAATAGGGAAGTTATTAAACAGGAAAAAAAAAAAAAAGAGGGGTCTAACTGGGAAGCCCAAATCTCTTTTCTGAATGTAAAACAAAAGAAAGGGGAGAAAGCAGAAGATTCACATACAGTTATAAAGAAAGGAATGATCAGTAAGCTAACAGAAAATCAATAAAATGCAAATATAAAAAACTTCTGTAACTAAGTACTACATTTGTGCTATTGCTGCTATTTCTATTATTGTTGCTATAATTTAGAAGAATGTATTTTATGCTCACTGGTCATTTGGGAAGAAGCAGGAGTCAACCAGCTTCACAGAATTCCAAAATGAAATAGACAGCTAACCTAGACAGGAGTTGAAAAACGAACTTGAGATTTATTTGGGCTAAGAAGCCCTTTCTAATTACTCCGCTCACAATCTTATCTAAAGAGATGCATTTAATATGGACTCCTGCAGGAAATGTTCCAGAAAATCACCTTAATCTTTAAAGCACCCACCCCATTTTGACTCACCTTGAGGACTAGTCACATCCACAAGAGGCTCCTGAGGTATAATCACTTGCGCCATTTCTGTCTGGGGAGATGGAATTACATGAAGCACTTGTTGGTTTTTTTGAAGGGCTGGTAGTGATCATCTTGGAGGCATTAAAGAAATACAAATGCCACTCTGATGTATCAGAGTTATTAAATTATGGAAGTACACACCTGCGTATACAGGTACAACATTCAGACATCAGCCAATTGTTAGTTAGGTCTCACAGCTGACAAGTGCTGATGCTAAGATGCAAAACAATCAGCTTGACAGAGCCTATGGTCTTAGGCTCTATGTTCTTACTCATGATAGCACATGCATGAACTTTAATAACACAGAGAGTGAAAAGCCAGCTTGGGCTACATGAAACCCTGTCTCAAGAACAAAAAGTAACTTACAAGTAAACCTTAGTATACAAACATTAGTTATCTATGGATCGTGGCCCAGTGTGCCTAGACATGAGCAGCTAAGTACAAGTTTAAAACTCGGGCACTGGAGCAGCCCATGACCGTCAGAAGAATAGGTGCAAGCCAAGCAAGCCAGAAAAACACATAGGAAAACTCAGGCAGAGTCTCCCTATTGGACCAGATACCACACTGGTGCCAGAACCCCAGATAGGTGGAAACAGTGGGCTTCCTCTATTTACTCAGTGCCCCCAATTCCCACTCCCCTCATCACCTTATCCAACTCCCCAACTCAAGACACCTGCTGCACCAAAGGCCAACCTAGACACCAGAAGTCCAGTCCCCAACTTAGACAGAAACTTTCTACTGGATCAGAGGTCACTCTGGCCAGCAGAAACCCAGGCCACAAAGACCAGAAGGCCAAAGAGGAAACAGAAACCAAAGGAACAAACACCCACCCTACCAAGACAAACTCAGAAACTGACACCTAGCAAGACCTGAATATTCCAACATAGCTGATGCACAAGAAAATGACCTTAAAACCAACTTTATAAAGTTGATAGATGTCCTTAAAGAGAAAATTTAAAAAATCCTTTAAAGAAATCAAGGGAAAAAAACCCAAAAAGTTGGAAAATATCAGCAAATTCCTTAAAGAAAGCCAAGAAAAAGCAAACAAACAGGTGAAGGAAACTGTTCAAGACCTGAAAATGAAAATAGAAGCAATAAAGAAAACACAATCTGAAGGAATTCTGGAAATGGAAAGTCTAGGTAAATAAACAGGAACTACAATCACAAGCATCACCAACAGAATATAAGAGATGGAAGAGAGAATCTCAGGCACAGAAGATATAAGGGAAGAAATAGACTCATCCGTCAAAGAAAACGTTAAATCTAAAAAAATTCCTTTCATAAAATATCCAGGAAATCTGGGACACTACGAAAAGACCAAAGCTAAGGAATGACAGGAATAGAAAATGGAGAAGAATCCAGCTCAAAAACTCAGAAAATATACTTAACAAAATCATAAAAGAAAAATGTTCTAACTTTAAAGGATATGCCTATAAAGGTACAAAAAGCTTACAGAACTCTAAACAGATTGGACCAGAAAATAAAGTCCCCTTGTCACAAAATAATCAAACCACTAAACAGATAAAACAAAACAGAATATTAACAGCTATAAGGGAATAAAGGCCAAATAACATATAAAGGCATACCTATTAGCATTATACCTGACTTCTCAACAGAGACTCTAAAAGCCAGAAGGGCCTGGCTGGGAGTGGTGGCACACACATGAAATCCCAGCACTCTGGAAGGCAGGGGTAGTCAGATCTCTGTGAGTTCGAGGCCAGCCTGGTCTATAAAGTGAGTTTCCAGACAGCCAAGGCTATACAGAGAAACACTGTCTCAGAAAAAAAAAAAAAAAAAAAAAAAAAAAAAAAAAAAAAAAAAAAAAAAAGCCAGAAGGGCCTGGGCAGATGTCTTGCAGACTCTAAGATGTCAGCCCAGACTACTATACCTAGCAAAAGTTTCAATCACCATAGGTGTAGAAAACAAGACAAAGTCTTGACAAAGTCAAATTTAAACAATATCTGTCCACAAATCCTGCCCTACAGAAGGTACTAAAAGGAAAACTTCAACCAAAGGAGGTTAACTACACAGGCAGTAAATAATCTCACACCAGCAAAACCCAAAAAAGAGAAACACATGCACGCACACACAAGCACACACACACACCACAATAACAGCAATTAACAATTATTGATCTTTAGTATCTCTCAATATCAATGGACTCAATTCCCCAAGGAAAAGACACAGGCTAAAAGAATGGATATGAAACCAGGAAATATCCTTCAGGAGACTACTTGAACATCATACCTCAACATCAAACATAGATATTACCTCAGGGTAAAGGGTTGGAAAAAGATTTTCCAAGAAAATGGACCCAAGCTGGTGTAGTCATTCTAATATCTAACAAAATAGACTTCTAGTCAAAAGTAATAAAAAGAGATAGGGAAGGACACCATACTCATCAAAGAAAAAAATTCACCCAGAGGACATTTCAATTCTTAATCGCTATGCCCCAAATGCAAGGGCACGCACATTTGTTAAAGAAACATTACTAAAGCTTAAATCAAACATTGAACCTCACACGTTAATAGTGGGAGACTTCAATACCCTACTCTCACCCATGTACAGTTTATATAGAAAAAAACTAAACAGAAATAATGAAAGTAATAGACATTATAAAACAAGTGGCCTAACAGATATCTACGGAACATTTCATACAAACACAAAAGAATATACATTCTTAGTACCTCATGGAACTTTCTCCAACATTGACCACATACTGGGTCACAGAGCAAATCTCAACAAATGAAAGAAAACTCAAATAACCCCCTGTATCCTAGCAGACTACTGTAGTGACAATTCTGAAATTTTGATTTCTTTAAAAAACAGAAATGCAAATCAAAATGACTTGAGACTCCATCTTTTATCTGTCAGAATGGCTAAAATAAAAAATACAAGTGAGCTGGGCATGCTGGTGCACACCTTTAATCCTAGCACTTAGGAGACATAGGCAGGGGGAACTCTGTGAGTTCAAGGCCAGTGTAGTCTACAGAGTGATTCCAGGAAAGCCAGGGCTACACACAGAGAAACACCATCTTGAAAAACTAAAACAAACAAAAAACAACAACAACAAATAAAACCAAACCAAAAAACCAACAAAAACACAAGCAAGATGTGCGTGGAGAAAGGGAACATTCTTACATTGCTGTAGGGAGTGCGAATTTGTACAACCACTTTGGAGATCAATATGGTGGTTTCTTAGATAACTGAGAATCAGTCTACATCAAGACACAGCTATACCACTCCTGGGCATATACCCAAAGGACGTTCATCATGTCACAAGGACACTTGCTCAATTATGTTCATAACATAACAGCTTTATTAAGAATAGCCAGAAACTAGAAACAACCTAGATGTCCCTCAAACAAAAAATGGATAAAGAAAATGTGGTACATTTACACAACAGCATGAAATTTGCAGACAAATGGGTGGAACTAGAAAATAACCAGAGCCAGAAAGACAAATGTGGTGTGTGCTCACTTATCAGTGGGTGTTAGCTCTAAAGGATAAACACGCTACAATCCACAGACCCAGAGAGGCCAAGTAAGGAGGCTTAAGGAGGGGAATGCAAGGGTCTCCATGGGAAGGGGAAAAAGAATAAATTTGGCTGGTAAATGGGGGGAGGAGTTTAACAACAGGTGGGCTTGGGATCAGGAGAGGTGGGGAGGGGAAAATACTGGGAGAAACCACTGGAAATGGGGAGCATTTCAGGGTCAAGGTAGTAACTAGTGCAATGGAAACTCCACAGATCTACACAAATAACCCTAGCAAAGACTCTTAGTAATGGAAGACAACAAGCCTGATCGGCCATCTTCTGTAACCAGACAAGGTCTCACGTGGAGGGATTGGGACACCAAGCCAGCCCCAAAGCTGTCGACCTACAGTTTGTCCTGTCTGTAGAGGGTTCTGGGACCAGAGCCTAGCATAATTGCCATCTGAGAAACTACATCCCGCAACTGATGGGTACAAATGTAGAATCTCAGCCAAACATTAGGCGGAGCTCAGAGAATCCTACAGAGGACAGGGAGGACAGATTGGAGGAACCAGAGAGGTCAGGGACACACCATGAAAACATAGCCCACAGAATCAACTGACCAGGACTCATGGGGCTTGCAGAGACCAGGGATCCTGTAGGGTCTGACCTAGGTCCTATGCATGTCTGTTGTGGCTGAGTGGCCTGGTGTTTCTGCAGAAATCCTAACAAAAGGAGCAGAGGCTGTCCTTGACTCTTCTGTCTACTTGTGGGACCTTTTCCTCCTATCAGGAGGAAGGCCTTGTCCAGCCTTGATGTGATAGTATGTGCCTGGTCTTATTGTAGCTTGTTATACCATGTTTGATTGATGCCCCTGGGAGGCCTATTCTTTTCTGAGAGAGGAAGAGGGCTAATAGATCTGGGGTAGACTTGGGGGAGAGGAGGGAGGGGAAACAGCAGTTGGGATATGATATAAGAGAAGAATTTTTTTTAAAAAGAAAAAAGAAACTAAAGTTGCTGGGCAGTGGTGGCACATGCCTTTAATCTCAGCACTCTAATCCCAGGCAGAGGCAGGTGGATCTCTGTGAGTTCAAGGCCAGCCTGGTCTACAGCATAAGCTCTAGGACAGCCAGGGCTACACAGAATAACACTGCTTCAAAGAACCACACACACACAAAAAACAAAAAAAAAAACAAAAAAAAACCAAAAAAAAACAAAAAAACAAAAAAAACAAAAAACAGCAACAACAAAAACCAAAACAAGGCAGATCAGTGTCTACGTGGGTACCCTAGTAAGGGGAACAGGGGCTGTCTCTGACATGAACTCAGTGGCTGGCTTGTGGATCACCTCCCCCTGAGGGGGAAATGGCCTTACCAGGGCACAGAGGAAGACAATGCAGCCAGTCTTGATGAGACCTGATAGGCTAGAGTCAGATGGAAGGGGAGGAAGACCTTGCCTATCAGTGGACTGGGGGAGGGGCACAGAAGAAGAAGCAGGAGGGAGGGTAGGACTAGGAGGGGATGAGGGAGGGAGCTACAGCTGGAATAAAAAGTGAATAAATTGCAATAAATAAAAATAAATAAAAAGGAAAATAAAAAATAAAAAAACTAAACATGGCAAGAATGAAAACCAAACCAAACCAAAACAAAAAAGAAACGAAGATCATTTAGCATGATTAATAAATACATACTGGTTAATAGCATAATACTCTATTGAGTATTTATGACTAATGTTACAAAATATTCTCACCATTTGTGCATTAGACTCTCTCAGTGGCTGAGGGTCATACTGAGTAGGCTGCCCATTTTGTTCCAAAAGATGAAATTGTTCTGCATGAAGGGCCTGTGCATCAGTCATTGTCTCTGGCACACCCTGTGCTGTGAGTGAATCATCTGTTTCAGGAGCAGTAATGGGCAAGATGCTAGGGCAATCATTTTGTCCAAAGGAAGGATCCCCAGAGTCCATACAGGTTAGATGCTTTTGAAAAGAAAAAAAAAAAAAAAATGACTTCAGTCTTTGTAAAATATACCACATTTAAAATGTATACAACTGTGTAAAATTAACAATGAAGAATGTTTATACTTCAGTTAATTGTTCATTTTACTTTTTCAATAAGAGGTTTTAATTTTTTAGACGGATGTCTCTTCATAGCTCTGGCTTACCTGGAACTCACTCTGTAGACCAGGCTGGCCTCAGGCTCACAGAGATCTGCCTGCTTTTGCCTCCTGAGTGCTGAGATTAAAGACACGGACCACTATGCTCATCGAGTTTGGGTATTTTCGGAGCTGGATATTGAACCCAGAACCTACTACATGCTAGGCAAACTATTTACCCTGAGCTACATTCCGGCCCAAAGTTTTCTTAAAGCAGTGGCTCTCAACCTCCTAATGCTGTGACACTTTAACACAGTTCCTCATGTTGTGGTGACCTCCAATCATAACATTATTTTTGTTGCTACTTCATAACTATAATTTTGCTACTGTTTTGAGTCCTAATGTAAATATGTTTTCTGATGGTCTTAGGTGACTCCTGTGGAAAGATGGTTCAACCCCAAGAGGAGTTGTGGCCCACAGGTTGAGAACAGCTGTCTTAAGTGAAATTGTTGACTTTTTTATTTTTAACTATTTTCTCAGGAATGCATTTGGAAATGATGAAATATAATTCAAAATATGTATTTGAGTATAAAGATTTTAATGGCTATATCTAAGCATCAATACAAAAAATCTATATTAAAAAATTAAATATATGATAGATATGTAATAAAAAACTCTTTGTAACAGCATCTCAAACATGTACCCCAGGCCTGATCTTGAACTCTGGATCCTCTGCCTGTGCCTCTGAGTGCTGGAAAAACAAATGTGTACTTCCATTCCTGGCCTATTAAAAATCTTGAATCACTGAGTAAAGCAACTGTTCTTTGAGCATGAAAAGTTGTTAAAGGACATGCTGTTCTTCATAAGATTAGAGACATTCCCAGCTTAATCCCTACCTCACATTCCTGAGTTTCTTTTTCTGACTCTTCAGCATCATTATAGTTGGCTCCTAATGAATGACACTGTTGCATGCTGGCTTCATATTCAGTTCCATTTTCTCCTATTAGTTAATAGCTGAGAGATTAAACAACTGGTCAACTGTAGCAATTAGCATTTTTATGGGGATGGTAATTTTAAGAAAAAAATTCATCTTTCATATTATGGTACCTTACATAATTTTCTTTCAATAGATAGAAAATTGTTTTTATTAATTAACTTTCCAAGGACCAGAATACATTTAAGGTAAATTAAATATTAGGATTACAAAGTTCCCTCATTTTGTCCTTAATTACACCCTGTATCAGCTCATTAAAGCTAAATTTGTAAAAAGAAAAAAACAAAAAACAAAAAAAACCAAACAAACTGAATTTGTGTTATAAAGTTATGTTACACTCACTGCACAATTATTTAATCAAGTAAAAGTTAAATTTTATGGGTTGGGTGTAACCTATATATAAACTTAGTACATAAGTTTAGAAAAGATGCCTTGGTGCAAATGGGACTATGCATGTTTAAGAATACGCGTCCTTCAGAACATGTTAATCTATATGGCCTTTTGCAACTTTAGGAAAGATGCCTTGGTCCTGACACACAGGAATGTGTGTCCTACAAGACACATTCCAAATATTGCAGTGAATGTCTAAAACCTCAGATAGGACCATCTCCTCCACGTGCATTTCTATACCAACAATTCTATACTACACACAGTAGATGAGTGATAACAGCAACAACACAGAATGACCACACTACAATAAACATCATTCCGAAAATTTCCTGTTTAATGGTTTCAAGTCAAGGTTGACCATAGGTAACTGAAACTACAGAGAGTAAAATGGAGTCTACAAGATGGTTAAATAGGTAAAATTCCTTTGGTCTCTACATGAATGAACACAGTGGTACATGCACACACATACCCTACACACAATTAACAGTAAAGAGATGTGTGTGTGTGTGTGTGTGTGTGTGTGTGTGTGTGTGTGTGTGTGCACGCACGCATGCATGTATGTAGCCCTGGATGTCCTGGACTCACTTTGTAGATCAGGCTGGCCTCGAAATCAGAGAGATCCACCTGCCTCTGCCTCCCTGAGTGCTGGGCCACGACTGTCATTGAAATGAGTTAATGGAACAATAAAATCAGTACTAATTTAATATATAGCTATAAGGTAACTTTAAATTCTCATTTAAGATTTTAAATAATCACATGTATCCTCATCTAATTTATTATAAAAATTGAACAAAACCTGTAACCTATAGTAGCTTAACCTCCATTGTCTACTTTTCTAAATTTTGTGTATTACTTGACAATAAAGAGTGTCAAAGTGGTTTTATTCTTAAGACAAAGACGACTGATAAGGGCTGGAAAAATGGCTCAGAAGTTAAGAGTACTTGCTGCTCTTCTAGAGGTCCTGATTTTAATTCCCAGTGCCCACACTGAGTAGCTCATGACTATCTGTACCACCAGCTCCAAGGAATCTGATGTCTCTGAGGGTACCTGCCACAAATGTTCATTGTGTGTGTGTGTGTGTGTGTGTGTGTGTATGTGTGCGTGCGTCACATACACAAATAATTTAAAATAAAATAAATTTTAAAACATATTACCATTCTTTAAAAAGGAAGTCTGGTACTTGGGCTGGGGCATGGCCCAGTGTTAGAACACCTGCCCAGCATGCACAAAACCCCTGGTATACTCTTCAAAATCGGCCCCCACAGACACAAATAAAAAGTCATGAAGATGTTAATTCATTTGCTTTAACTCCACAATGTATGCACATGAAATATGTTCCCCTTCATAAATACGTGTTTCTGCCAATGAATAAAAAAAATCTATGGAAAAAGAAACAATAAGTATCTAATGAAAAATTAAAAATAAATATTAAAGAATTAAAAATAAGAAACACAAACACATAGAAAAATATATCATAAATTCTTACTGCTATTAAAATAAACAATAAAGCCAATAACAAATCAATACTATTACAAGTAGATCTCTAGAGAAAGACTTATCAAGAAAGGGGCAGTCCGGAATGGTGGCTCAGTGATTCAGCACTTTGCTGCTGCTCTTGCTGGGCCCTGGTTTCAGTTCCCAGCACTCACTGGTGGCTCACAAACTGCCTGTAATTCCAGTTCTAGGGGATCCAACAACCTCTTCCAGCCTCCACAAGCCCCAAGCACGCAGAAGATACACATACATACATGTTGCCAAAACATCCACACACATAAAATAAAAATAAAGAAATATTTTTTTAAGGAAAGAAAAAAAAAAAAAAGCACAAATTAGCATCAGGGATCAAAAGGGACTAACTATAGTAGACATTAAGATGAAGATATTATGGACATGTTCCTAGAAAAAAAATAACTTACCAAAACAAATTCTAGAGTTATAATGACTGAACAGTCCTATATATATTTAAAACAATTAAAAATGAAAAATCTTCCCACAAAATGAATATCAAGGCCAAGATATTTTATAAGAAAATTTTTAGAAACCAAGTAAGTACAGTCTTGCATAAAGTCTGTAAGAGTAAAGGGGATTACTCTTAATCCATTCCAAAAGGAGAGAGCACAGGAAGAAAGCTCAACACTAACTTTCGTTTTTCTATCAGTCGTGCTCTCTAGGTTGTGTGGCCATCCTCCGGCACCTCTGGAGTCCTACTGACCAAGGAAGAATGGCCCTGATCCAGACCACCCAGTTCCTAGAGCACAGAAGACACTCCTGCAAATTAACCTTCTGTGAAAACACATGGAGGTAGCAGGCTGCCCACCAGCCAGCTTTACTGTGGACTCTGACCCTCTGAGACACTATTGCCCAGCCTTAACCACCCTAGGCCAGCCATCAGCCAGTAGGAGTCCGAGTCCAGTAAGTTTATTCAGACTCTCTGATCTTGGGCCAGCTTAGTCTGCTTCGGCTTCCCCCCCCCCCCACGCCCCCTGTTCTATCTCAATGACCACAAGCAGGGTTCTTCTGCAGCCCTCACCCACATCTACCTGCCACCAACCTTGGTGCTATGTTGTGTGGCACTTCGTGGTATAGCATGCCCCACTCCTTTTGGGAACTGTGAATAACAGGCTATCTCTTCAACGGCAATCGATTCTTCATCAGGTGGTCTCACCATACCTAAATAGAAAGAAAACGTGAACACATGAATGCAAAACTCCTAAACAGGATCACAGCGAAGAAACTCAGCAATGTCTAGTGAAAAACATCGTCTGATAGGACCTACAAGATGGCTCCATGGGTAAAGGTACTAGTTGCCAAGCCTGCTGCTCTGTTTGATTCCTGGACCCTAGATGGTGCAGAGAGAGCCAAATCCTACACGCTGTTCTCTGAACAAGTACACACACACACACACACCATGTAAATCAGTAGTAGAAGAAATTTATCTCTGGTATTGGGCTGAAAAAATGGCTCAGAAGTTGCTACTCTTGTGGAGGACCCAGGTTTGGTTTCCACGTGCTACCCACATGCTGCAACTCCAGCCCCAGAGGACAGGACACTCTCCCCGGCTTCTGCAGGCACTATACGCACACCATGTACAGATATACATGCAAGCAAAATGCCCAAATGCATAAATAAAAACAGTCAGTCTAACAAAGCCCTGTTATCACTGAATTCAATTAATTTATGTACCACTAGGAGAGAAAAACATTAAGAAACCATATATATGCTTTCCCTACTTTTTTGTTCCATACTTAAAAGTCTTTTAAATTTAAATGGATTTTTATTACATAAAACACACATTTATAAAAAGAAAAATATATGCAAAGTACATCTGCTAAACCATGCCTTTGCGTTCTAAATCTCATTCCATTTTCAATTCAGAGTTTCTGGTGTATACCTTGAGATCATTTCTGCCATTGGAGGAACAGATATTCTTGTTCCAGTTTCTGATGTGTTGATAAAACACTGCTATCTTCCCTCATCCATCTAAAACTTCCTTATACCTACTAAATCTCTATGAACTAAAAGAATGTTCTTAAATTTTTAAGTCGGGGACACTCATTTTCAAAAATGACCTCAACAAACAAATAATCTTTCTCCTCTTTTTATATCCCTGCCAGCATGTTTGTTTTGATTTTACCCATCTGACTGTAGTAATATGAAATCTTAAAGTAGTTTCAATTTGAATCTCCCTGATGGCAAAAGGTGCCTGATGAGCATTTTTTTTTTAAATCTTAGCAATTTTAATTTTTTTTTTTTTATGAATTCTGTTTAGTTCTACTCCAAGATTTTTAATTGGATTGTTTATTTTTTTGTATCTACTTTGAGTTATTTGTATATTCCAGACCCCAGCTCTCCATCTGACATAGTTCATACATAAAATCATAGAAGCTATGACTGCAAGGGTAAGACCTGCACAAAATGAAGCTAGACAAAGTCCATGAATGGAAAGAAATGAAAGTCATCAAGCTCCACCCCCAACTAAGGAACAGCTGGCCATTGGTGGCAGGAAAGTTAGTGTTTTTCTGGGATTTGACCCTTGAGGGTTGCCCATGCTCCAGACATGGCCCTCCACACCCCCCCACAATGCCACACTAAAGTGACTCAGTGGATTAGAAGAAGAAAAAGAGGCACATGGAGTTGAGGGAATAGTGGGGTGGGGGGTAGGTGAAAAATTGGATTAGAGGGGATAGGAATGGAGGATGGATTTGGTAATTTACTTTGTTAAAACATAAACATTTAGAAAAAAATAAGAAGATGGCCAGGTGGCAGTGGCCCAGTGGTGGCTTTACTCCCAGTACTCGGGAGGCAGAATCAGTCAGAGCTCTTTGAGTTCAAGGCCAGCCTGGTTAACGAAGTGATTTCCAGGATAGCCAGGGCTACACAGAGTGATCCTGTCTCAAAAAACCAAAACCAAACCAAACCAACAAAAATCCCCAAAAGTTTAAAAAGTTATTACCTTCAAGCAGTGGCTCACATTTCAAGTCCAGGTTCCTCCATTCTATTAGCCTCAGAAACGTCCTTTCATGTTTATTGATGGTCTTCCTTTGGGGAACTAAATTATAGCAGTGACAGCTTTGTTTGTGTGTTCAAGGTAGCATGTTCTCTGTAAGGAAATGATGGCCAATTTTACTCTTGCACACATAACAGAACTGCTCACTTTCATTACAGGTTTTCTTACCAGGCTAAATACAGTTGACCCTTATTCCACTCAGTTGATAGGAGCTAAAGTTTAAGACTCATTAGTGCCCTGGAAGAGGTGATTAACCTTTTGTTGCTGCTTCCTCCTCTACAGCTAGATTTATTTCAGGTCCAACAGTTTACAGTTATCACTGAAACAAAGATTTCTGTAGCCACGTTTTTTTTTTTTTTCCCCTCAATGAAAACAATTACCAACACCGCATCTTTGAGTGCCACAAGAAGCTTGAAAATAAAGTTTCCACACCTACAACCTCCAATCCTAGAACCAAAAAATGTGTCTTGTAAGCAGGAAGTACCAGGACTGGCTACAAGGAGCAGAGAGAAAGAGGCATTGAAGATGGAATCTAATAAACGTCAGAAAGCCCCTTTTCTTTTTCTGGAAAACTGCTGTCTAGGATGTCTGTATCACTTCAGAGCAGGAGATTTTATTCTATATCAAAAGTGAAGGTTACAGGGCTAGAGGAATTACCCAGTAGTTGAGAACACATACTGCTTTTCTAGAGGACCACATGCATTTCCCACCACCTGTGTGAAGGGGCTCACAACACCTGCAACTCCAGCTCCGGGGGATGTAACACCTCGTCTGGCCTCTGTGGGCACTGCACTCATGTGCATAAACCACAAACAAGACACAAACATATACAGATAAGTAAACATCAACCTTTTTAAAAAATAAAGGTTTAGGAGAAACCGTAAAATGAGTGCTTCTGTGATTTCACTTTATAAAGGCTGTTTGACTCTTTACACATGATGAATTCATGGCAGAGGGCTACCAATTAGTCAGATATATAGATTTTTCTCTATAAAGGGCAATACTTGGGCTATGGGTGCTTGATTTTGATCCACAGTAAATACATTTGTTCAAAACTTTAAGGGTAATTTCTCAGATGTAGTTCCTGAAAAACTATCAACATCAATTTTGTCATATTTCCACCATAACCTTTGTGGATTAAAATAAATCCTTTAAAACTATTAATCCAAGGCAGGTATGGTGGTACACATCTTTAATCTCAGCACTAAAGAAGCAGAGGCAGGCAGATAATATTTTTGTTTTGTTTTTGTTTTTGTTTTTTTTTTGGGGGGGGGTTTTGAGAGAGGGTTTCTCTATGTAGCGTGGCTGTCCTGGAACTTGTCCTATAGACCAGGTCTGGAACTCATAGAGATCCTCCTGCCTCTGTCTCCCATGCTTGAATTAAAGGTGTAGGCCACCACTGCCAATTTCTATAGCTCTTAGCCTATACACGCATATTTTTTATTCCTTTAGTTTTTGAGAGCTTAAAAATTATTTTTTTATATTGACTCTAGAGTGATCGTATTAGCCATCTAAAGGTAAGTGGAGTACAGTCGTCCTCTGCTCTCTTATCTGTGGGGGACACAATCTGAGCCCATATGATTACCTGAAATCAAGGATAGCTAAACATACCATGCTTTTTTTCTATACATGCAAACTAATGAGAGCTAACTTATAATTAAGCAGGGAGATTAAAAACACGTTTTAACAATATATTTAGTAAAACTGTGAATGTGGGCTCTGAAATAGCTTGTTGTAGATGTTACAATATTAGCCTATAGCTTTTTTTTTTTTTTTTTTTTTCCAAATTAAGAAGTTCATTTTACTTAAAACACTTGGAAATGTCTCTCTGGCACATGTGAATTGCCATTATTAGCACTTTTGCACTTGCTGTAACACAAAGACTGTGGTACTGGCTTACTCTCTGAAAGGATACTAACTACTTACGGGTGGACAGTGGACAGAGTGGATGCTCTCCCTGGACAAATGATTCACATCCCAGGTAGGGGAGTGCAAGACAATTAGGTTACTGAGGAAGACAAACAATCTAAAACTCAGAATTATTTCTAGGATTTCCACTTAATATTGACAGCAGGACACTGAAGGTGAAGAACACAAAACTACGGGTAAAAGGGAACTATGGTAATTCTCTTGAGATCTTAAGATCCCGGAACTTGGGCTATGATGCAGATGGAGCTCAGCATACACAAAGCCCTGAGACGGATTCCAAAACTTCGGATTCGGGTTCAAGGCAAGCAATAGCCATGTGTGGTAGAAGGCAGGTATAATCCCAGCATTCAGGAGGCAGAGGCAGGAGGGCCTTGAGTTAAAAGCTAATGAAACAGAGTCAATTCAAATCCATCCTGGAGTGGGGGAGGGGGAAGACTGTAACAAAAAGAAACTGTTTCCATGTTGGAGCTTCTGCAGCTAATAGTGAGTCTTCATGAAGCCCACAGTAAATGAATCTCAAAAGTGTGCAGTAATATTAACGAAACTTAAGAAAACCAAGACTCAAAAGCATTAGCTATCTAGGAATTGCCTGGAAACAACAAAAGACATGACAAATAAGTCACTGTTGTGGTGGTGCAAGCTTTTCACCCCAGCACTCAGGGAGGCAGAGGCAAGAGGGTCTCTTGAGTCTGAGGCCAGCCTGGCAAGTTCAGGAGAGCTAAGGCCACACAGAGAAACCCTGTCTCAAAATTTGAAAAAAAAAAAAAAAAAAAAAAAGAAAAAGAAATCATACTGGATATTCTTATTAAATTTTACTTAAGTAAACATCTTAACCAAATAAAAATACACTTTAGTGAATTCAAGATTTCTGCTTTGCAAATTGAAATCTTTCCTTGAGTAATTTATGTTCTGTATCTTCCTCATCATAGTTTTCCATTCAAATTAACATAAAAATGTACTGGCTTTCAAGTACTGCCAATTTAATAAGCCCATATTAAAGGAAGTTTAAGAGCTGTTGTAATCATTTATATGCTAACAATAGTGATACTTCAGCTAAGGAATTTCACGTTTCAGATGTCCCAGCTTTTTTAATGTAAATCCTCACCATTCCAAATGACTCACATTTAAAGGACTACACTATTACTAGCAAATCCAAACGTAAGCGGTTTTTTGTTTTGTTTTGTTCCTTTCTGGAACTTGTGCAGAGGTTTTCCCATTTTCTTGCCTCCACTACATCGGTAAAGTTTCTAGTAAAAACTTGTTTTGCTAGCTCTCAGGGCAAAAGTTAACATTTACTGAGTACTTCCTATGTGACATTCAGTTCTCACAGTTGGTCAAAGTGTGGCACAGAGGTTAATTAAATTCAGGCATCCTTGTTTCAGGGCATGCAAATCTGTAGGGTGGATCAACTGAAAATTAACTCATGCTTTTAACTGTCATTGCTCACTTAACAGATGACTGCTTTGTTGTTGTTGTTTTCTCTCTCTCCTCCGGTTGTTTAGATCCCTTCTAATTTGCTCCAGAGGATTTAAATATTAGGCGACATAGAGAAAAGAAAAGCTTGCATTGTTTTCACCTGCACACACATACCACTAAGCCCACACACATTTTGCAATCCAGCTCAGCCTGATTGGAAACTGCTGTCTCGGAGGACTGTGTCCGGTCACCCGCCCCTCCCCTCCCGGGACTGTTCAGGCGAGTGACTTCAAAAGGGGCGTTGGCGTAGTACTCCCCTAGAGTCATAGCAGAAGGACCACTGGGACCGAGACAAGCCTTCGAGTTATCTCGAGATTAAAAGAAAAAAAAAGTCTGAAAGCAGGGGAGAAGGTGCTCAGAAAGGAGGGGACGGGCCCCTCTGGGGCGGACGCTGGCGCCTTCTAGGGCTCAGCACCCTCCGCAGGACACCAGCCTCTCCCGGCCGCAGCCTGCCCTCTCCGGGCCGCGGGCCCCGTCCCGGGACCGGGGTGCAGGACGCGCCGCGGAGGCCGGCGAGGGCGCAGGGACCGCACGCCGCGGCGTCCGGCGACGGCGGGGGCGGGGGCCGGCGGTTGCTCCCAGCCCGAGAGGGTCAGGGGGTGACGGGAGGAGGAGGAGGAGGAACGCGGGGGGGAAGAGGGGAGGGAGGGAGCGTCCGTCCGGTCCGTGGGCGCAGACGGCTCGGCCAGACCTCCGGCTCCCCCAGCCCTGCCGCCGCAGTGAGCCCCGCCACGCGAGAGGGGAGTCCGCCGGAGCAGAAGGGGGAAAATGCAAAACGAGTCTACTCAACCTCGTCTTGGCTCCGAGGCCCCGCCATGGAGACCAGCACAATGCGCAGGCGCAATCCTCCGGGCGGCGCAGTGCGGGCCCAGAGGTTGGACCCTTCCCGGCCACCGTCGCCCGGTTCCCCTCCGACGCGCTCTCCTTTTTCCTATTTCCGCTCTGCAGCCTGAGGTAAGAAAGAACACATGAGGTCCCGGTTGAACCGGGCTTTTGGAACTCTGCATAGCAGACAAACTGGCGGGACCCTTGTCGCCCGAAGTTCAGGAGCAGGAAGTGTAATATCTGCCCGGGAAAGGGAGTTTTAAAAGCAAATAAGGGAGCCTGGACGCGGTGCGGCCAAATGAATCAAACCTACAACTCCCAGTGTTCAGAGGGTCTGAAACGCGCTCCCTTCTGGGGTTTGTAGTACGTGGATTACGGATGTAGGTAGATAGTAAGAAACCAAGGACTAAGGGGGCCTGGCTGCCTTTAAGACTCTGCCTCACTAATCGATGTTTCCTCAATCCCGGAATCGGTAGTTGATGTGTGCGGGCTGGGCGCCGGTGGGAAGGGAACCTCGTGGTGTGCTCTGAGGAAGCAGGAGGAAGGGAGCCGAAGCCCAGCTTCCACCGCGCCGGCGGCGTCCTCGTCTGCCTGGAGCTGCCCGACCGTCCGCGCGCACGTCTTCCCGGAGAGGTCTCGCGTGTACCTTCCGCCATGGCACAGCTCCAGGCACGTTTCTACACCGAGGACAAGGAGTAAGTGAGGGTTTCGGCTCCTGTCCCTGCCTCCCCGTAGCCGATCTCGTTTTAAGACCCCTCCTTGGCCGTTCTGCCTGGGGACAGACACTAAAGAAGAAACGGGACAAGGCTTCAGGAAATCAAAGCTGAAAAGAGTTTAACAAGTATCTGGCTGGAATTAAGAGGATTGAATGCAAATGAGATAAGCTGACTGGCGGATAGAGCTAATAATAATAAAAATAAAAAGATTTCATTTGCCCTCCCGTCTTTTTCACAAGCCCCTCACTGGTGCCCTGTCCCATTTGGAAGCAGTGGGCACATCTTAGCCGGCTTCCTGAATCTCCGTTTTCCCACCCACCTTCGTGAGCTCTTTACAATTTTAACAGGGCTTCGAGTTGACTTTCTGAATGATGCGCACACCGTGCTCTTAATTTGAGGAGTGAACTGTGGCACTTCTGTTTCCAGGCTGCCCGTTGATGCTTTCTGGCGGTTTCTGAAAGCACAACTGTGTTTGCTTTTTTTTTTTTCAAGCAGTCTAGAAACTGGATCTCTAAATTTGGGGTTCATAGAGCTGTTTTTGTTTTGTTTTAAAGATTTATTTATTTCTACAATGTTCTGTATGCATATACACCTGCACGCCAGATGAGGGCAGTAGATCTTACTACAGCTGGTTGTGAACCCCCTGTGGTTACTGGGAGTTGAACTCAAGACCTCTGTAAGAGCAGCCAGTGCTCTTAACCTCTTAGCCATCTCTCCAGTCCGTTTTTTTCTTTTTTTAAAATAGATTGAAGTCAATTCAGTTACCGATTTGATTAGGTGTATTAAATGTGTTGTTCTAGCTACGTTTCTCTTGCTGTTATAAAACATGATGAAAGCTTTTTGTAGTTTATTCATAAGGCAGAATATCACCATACCTAATGGCCAGATAGTCCATTATATGGCTCATTTTCTCTTATTATCCAATTAGATCTTTGAATATCTTAGCTATTGTGAACAGTGGCTGTGTAAGCATTAATGTACAGTTTTTCTGTGAACAGTGTAGCCAAGGCTGGCCTTAGACCCTCCTATCAACCTGCCTTTGCCTTCCAAATGCTGGGATTAAAGGCTCGTGCTGCCATGCCCAGTGAATGTGCATTTTTATTGCTTGTTGGTGTATATTCAAGAGTGTAGTTTTGGGGCCAAGTAGGAAGACCACATTTAACTTTTAGAGGAACTAGCAAACTGTTTTCCAAAGTAACCCTACGGCTTTACATTACCACCAGCAGTGAATGAGGGTTCTTTCTCTGTATCTTCCCAACACTGTATTTGCACCCTAACGGATGTGAAATGATTGTGGTTTGGTCCTGTGCCTGTAGTCATTGCTCTTTTCTGTGGAAAACTATTCAGATTCCCTGACTGTTAAACATTTTTCGTTTTTGTTTTTTTTTTTTTTTTTTTACTTTTTAACACCTAACTGTAAATGTTCATTATATATGGTAGATACAAGTTCCTTACCAGAGAAATAATTTACAACTTTTTTTTTTCTCTTTGAGTCTTCTGCTTCTGGTTACATATTCTTCTAATTCAGTCTGTTAAACAGCTATAAAGAAGTAACTATGCAAAGTACTCTTATTACTCCTTAATTTGGACTGCTACAGTGTTTCCTTGTTGCCTATACAAAGAATTAAAAATAGTTTTATAGACCATAGGATTTAAAACACTCTACATGTTTCTCGTCTTTGAACGCTACCTAAGGCAAAATCATTGCTTGAAATAGGCACAGGTTCCTTTGGTCTGCTATTGCTTTCCCACCGTCTCCTTTCCAGGTTTCCCTTTCCTACCTGGCCAACATCACTTTTTACAGCTATGGCTTAAGAATTATCTTTTTTGTGCATCTATTTGGGTCCAGAACTTCCACCCTGTTCTCTGAAGTGACTTATGTCTCATCATTTATGACACTGTGTTCATGGGTTTTCACTGTTCTTTTACGAATAAAGACAATCTTACCAGGCGGTGGTGGTACATGGCTGTAATACTAGCAGTCAGGCCGCAAAGGCAGGCATATCTCTCTGAGTGCAAGGACAGCCTGGTCTACAGAGAATTGCAGAACAGCTAGAGCTACACAGAGAAACCCTGTCTCAAAAAACATAGAGAGACCTTACATCGTTTTATTTGTGCCATGTAGTAAATGTCTTGTGTAAAGTACCCAATAAACAGTTGTTGAATGAATAAATGCAGATTTGTCAAAATGTGTAGACTTAATGCTGACATATCATTTCCTGTGTATAGATATGCTGTAGATGATGTTCCTTTTTCAATCCCTGCCACCTCTGAAGTTGCTGACCTTAGTAACATCATCAATAAATTACTGGAGACCAAAAATGGTGAGTATATATGCTCCAGGAAGTTGGGAGCGGGCACAGTGCCATCAGCTTCACTTAGATACATTTTGTTTGTTTTATTTTATTTTTTGGATTTTGAGACAAGGTTTCTCTTTGTAGCCCTGGCTGTCCTGGAACTCTGTAGACCAGGCTGGCCCCTAACTCAAAGAGATCCATCTGCCTCTGCCTCCAGTGTACTGGGATTAAAGTCTTACGCCACCATACCTGGCTATACATATTTTTTAGTTCCATTTTTTTTATTCGGTACATGAATTTTATAATAAAATAAATCAGTTGTAACATACAGATTTTTATGGTAGATTCTTTGAAAGAAGAAATTTTTCTGGAAAAAATAATTGTTTCATCTGCTTTTTAAAGACAGTTTAGAGGCAAAGTATTTGTAATTTGGGAGTACAGATGTTAATGTATGCTATTTACGGTAATAAAAGGATTGTGCTTGTGCCAAATAAAACAAGAGCCTTCAAGCTTAGGCCTCATGTTTGCTAGAGATGTGTAAAACAAGATAACAGTATATTTTAGCGTTTATTTTATATAATAACAAAAGTCTTTGTTAATATGGGTGTTTCTTGTTAAAAATTACCCAAAAAAAATAATGGGTATAATCAAATTTCATAAACACACAAGGAATTGAAAACTACATAAAGCATCTTTAAAAAAAAAAACAAAAACAAAAAAACAGAATTAGCTGGGCTTGATGGCACATGCCTTCAATCCCAGATGCAGAGACAACTGGGGCTCTTTGAGTTCAAGGGCCAGCCTGGTGTATGAAGAGAGGTCAGGGCAGCCAGGGCTCTGTTACACAGAGAAGCCCCTGCCTTTAAAAACCAAAAAAAAAAAAAAAAACCCACAGAATTTGTCAGTGAAGAAGTTTGCTTTATGCCAGTGTTTTTAATGGCTGTGAAGCTCTTTTGCATCTTTCCTACTTGAAGCATTGGGTGGGTGGGTGAGTTATAACTGGTGTCTTTCCTCTTCATTGTTAAGTAGTCTCTTAGTTCTTAAGTTTTGTGCTTTTGGTATAGGTTTTGGTTTTGGGTTTTTGTTTGTTTGTTTGAGACAGGGGCTCACTATGTACCCCAGGTTGTCCTGGAACTCATTATGCAGACCCAGGCTGGCCTCAGACTCAGAGAGATCCTTCTGCTTGTGCCTTCTCACAGGGATTAAAGACGTGTACCACCATGGCTTGTGAGATAGTGCAGGCTTTTGTTTATCAAGGGATGGATAGGGCTTGCAATCTATTTATTGCTAAAAAGCTATAGTTTTTAATTTAAAGATACAGTATTTTTGAGGTGTCCTCTTATTTTTATCATATATAACATAGAGATTCTGATGGGTATTTATTTTATTTGTAATTATATAGAAATAACTGATGCATCACTCTTAAGTTATTAAGCAAATTATTTGGATTTCAAAATATTAAAACATAAATCATTAGTTGATTACTGCTAATATTTATGGGAAGACTAATAGGATCAGTTTACTAATTAAATGTATTAAATTATTACTTGCCAGCTTCAATAATAGATATAAGTAGTGATTATCATTAATTGTTAGAACCATTAAGTAAGGTTAGTGGTAGCTAGGGACCATTATGGTGGATGCAGTCAGGCTGGATCCTGAAGGTGGATTTCAACAACTGTAAAAGATAGGTAGGTAAGGGCCGGGAAGATGGCTCAGTGAATAGTGTTTATGTGGACGGTGAAGACAAGTGTTCAGATCTCCAGTCTCCACATAACAGACCTTAGTATTTAAGGTGGCAAATGAGCCAGGAAGACATTGAACATCAGCCTTGAACTTCCAGACTCATGCACGCGCGTATGCTCACACACACATATAGAAAAAAAACTTACACCTTGTTGATGGATCCATGTTGATGTGGTACAGTAGGAGATAGACAATACTCCCTGTGAAAACTTTCCAAAAAATAAAGAAACCTGAAGTCTTAGCAGTTATTTA